TGCTGCAATAGGGGCATAGGATATTATGGGCCTATGGACAGTGATGTGAGCAGCTGTGTTAGAACCTGTGATCTACAGAGTGTCAGAGTATGAGTACAGAGATGAAGTAGGGGGTAACAAAGTACGAGATGGGGATTTAGCTTAGCTCCTGTACTAGGCCCTTCCATGGACCTTGGTCTCTAACTTGTCAGAATGAATTGAGGAGAGTAGAGGATGGAAATAAAGAAGAGTAAAAGGTCCTTCGGAGAAGGACCGGGGAGACTTAGAAAGGGACTTGTAAAAAGGTGAGGAAATTTAGTTAATATTTGAACTGCAGGAACAGAATACAGAAGCTATAACTTATATACTGCCAGAGGAGTAGGAGCTCATAAGGGGTAACTTATAATGTGTGTACAGAGTTCTATGCAGACAATTATCTAGCGAGAGAGAAATGTATGTGCAAGGAGTGTATTATAAGGTCTAAACTACAGAGTCCACAAGGAGTATGAGAATGTGCGTAGGAAAGCATATGACGGACTAGAAGTCCAGTGCAAGAGTATTGGAATGGGAATCCGGAGTACCATGTGGGGGTGGGGTACATGATAAAATTGGATATTGACCAGACCAGGGATTAAACCTGGAACCTTCTGGATACATGCCAGCTGCTCTACCAATTGAGCTATATGACCAAGGTTATACAATATTGGATCTCAAACATGACATCCAACCACAGACGTCTTACACAGTATAGCTACTGCATACTGGATTGGCTTACAAATCAGAGGTATTATCCTATGGGGTATTGGTATGTCAGAGTATATTCTAACAGTACAGGGCTATGCCACCCGGCAGACTATGAGGAGCGTAATCCCAAAAATACCAAAGATTTGGGAGGTTTGGACTTAAGGAAGTCTCTCCTTCAGAGATTCTGGAGTTCTGTCCTTCGGTACGGATATGACAAGCTGGGAGAGTATAATTAGCGGGTATGCAAATAGCTCAGTAAGACAATCAATCACAAATAGCAATGAGGACCAAGATTGTGGTGTGAGCCTTTTGCTGTGTTGGATTAAATGATACTGTATTGAACAAACATAAAGTAGAAATGGTACGGAGAAGCCTCATTGCACAAGGCATCTGTGTGTTGCCAGGTGCAAGGAGATTGTGGATATTATCTGGTGAAAAGTCATAGGTGATTACAAAGTTGTTGATAACAATTTCCTGTGGTAAACAAATGAGAGTCAACAGTCCAGGTCAGGCTGCAGATACTGAGTCTAACCTAAACCCCCCACTCACTGTAGGGCAGTGACATTGAACATCAGGAAAACATGACTTAGATATAAATGCAATAAATTGCAAATATATGCTATAATAGCAAAAATATCTGTTATATCCATAAGTGTGATTCTTGCACAGTCCCTTACTCTAAACTGCATAAATAATCTTTATTGGTATTTAGGCAGTTTAGAGTATTGCTATATCATCAAAAGTGGTTTATAGCACAATCATTAAAACAAAAATGACCTTGCACTTTTTCGCTATAGTTTACTATAATTTACTCTAAATGCAATTATATCGATCCATACTCAATTATATCTAAAAAAAAAAATCATTAATAAAGCAAATGATATTAATTCTAAATATTTAAAATGCTACAACACTATTGTAATATCTATTATTTACAGGTAATAAAAGTATTAAAATAAAGCTTTAAAATAACACAGCTTCAAATCTATGCTGTTATTGATAAAGTGTCTGAGTTTATGATTAAATAGATTGTATTACTTAGTTTGTCCTTGCAGATATTTTTTATGCCATAAATAAGGGATACACTGATTCTAGCTTGGGAAATAAGTTCCCCTCTGACCTGTGTGAAACCTTTCCACATCTGTATTGATGGTGATAATCAGTATGGATACATATGAAGAAGTTTTAACTCATGTATTGTAGTAATTGAGACTTGAGGACCTAGTTGTCTTGTATCTCCTTCATTTTGTCCACTAGGCCACTGTTATTTTCTGCTGCTGTGGCTTTGACCAACAAATCCCAGCATATTGCTTGACAACTGAGGGGGTTTAGAAATTCTTTTTCTGTGACAGTAAAAAGTCTCATGGCTTTGTGAGCCAGGCTTGCAATACATTTGATGATAGGGCTGGCCATAAAACAAAGCCTTAGTTTCTGGAAGAGAAATGATGTTGGGGCTGCGTGACATAGTAGATGTAGATGTAGAAACAGTGGGACAATCTGTTTTTCTTACAACCTGTAGGCAGGTAAATAAATGTTCTCAAGGCAATAATAGTCTTACCTTATTATCATCCACAACTCTTTTTGGGTAATTGTCCTCCTCCTCCTCGTCTGATAGAGGCTATAAAGGAAGTACTACAGAATTATCTTGATTATCACTAGATATTTCTGCATGACCCAGAATATAATCTATCATATTCTTGTCATCATCAGGATTGTTATCATCATCAGCAACATCCTCATTATCATTTTTGTTGTTATAGTCATTATCATCACCATTCCGACATATTTTCTTGCCATGTAGACTGTCTCCTTCAGAATCTTCTTCATCAGCCAACATGGCTGCTGCTCTTTTACGCTTAGCTGCAAACAGGTATCAGTTTTTGTGCTCTATCACGTACCAAATTCCTTTGCCTTAGCTTCTGAGGCTAATACAGCCTTTTTTTCTTGCTAGAAGAGCCCCAAGAACATTTTTTTCTTCTTTGCTGAGTGCTGTGGCATTAGGTCTTGCAGAAGTAGCCTGAAAATTGTAAATAGTAAGGTACAGCTTGTGGTTTGAAATATTTTTTGATCTCTATTTTGAGATTGTCCCAGGTAGGCCATACTCCCGTGGTGTAGCACTCCTGCAATCTAACTTGGGTGTATCGACCCGCCACAGGTCCCTTTAGTCGAGATAGTACCGCAGTGGCTACCTCGAAATCATTGGCAAATGCATCCTAATTTGCCTTAACCCATATTTGGAGCTTGATCCACCATTCGGCAAATTGCGCTCTGTCTCCTTCGAAAGTGCCAGGGTCAGCGACGATTTCCACCTCCTTATTGAATTTCTTCTTGACCGAGGGGGTTGCTGCAGGGGGATTTGCCTGTAGCTTGGCGAGTTGAATGATCAATGTCAAGATCTGTGCACGCATGTTGTGCAACAGAGCATTGACATCTTGTTGAGTTTGCAACGACATGTCGACTTGTTCTCTTGTAAAGTAAAAAAAAGGTAACTGGGGGTCCCCGCTTGCTATCTGTAAATAAATTTCTAAATTTGTTATCTGAAGTATGTACTTGTATGCGAAACTGTAACTGTGGATTCTTTATGGACACTCCTGACGATATAGCTGCTTTGAGCGCTGATTCGGGATATCATAATGATGAAAGAGTTGATGCTAGAAATACTTATAATACCACCGCTGTACCACCGTCTCCTTTGGAGTGTGGCCCCAGCGAGACAAACAATAGGGTGCTTGATCCTGGTAGAAATAAAAATAAAAACATAGAAAATACTAAAGTAGAAAAGCATGTTTCTCTCAATTCTTCTTCTTCGTTGGAGCCACCCTTTCCCGAAATCCCAAAGTGTGTGTTGATGTGCACATATTTGTTCCAAAAGGAGATCTGTTTAGATGTTGGCGTGGAAAACCTTGCCCGAGGCATAGTACACCCAACCAGCACACTGCTTAATTCAGGCGCTAACGGCATCTTCATAGATCAGGTCTGGGTGGAGCAAATTGGACTCCCCCTTGTAAAATTAGATGTATCAATTCCCGTCTATAACACTGATGGTACGCTTAACGCGGGTGGCTGCACCACGCACAAATGTTCCTTTGTTGTTGAGTACCAAGGACACAGAGAACGAGTCACCGCCAAAGCTACCCAACTAGGGAAGATTAATTTAATATTAGGCTGGACCTGGCTATTTAAACACAATCCTGAGATTGACTGGCAGACAGGGGTTGTCACATTGTCACGTTGTGCTCAGGAGTGTGAAAACTTGGGTAAACCGAGTCGCGTCTGTCAAACAGAGCATCTTGAAAAGATAAACGCTGGTCACGTTTACAAGCTCAGATCTTTAGAAAAGATTGACAATGACAATGACGAGGTAAAACCCGAGGAAGGGATTAAGAGGCTGGTACCTCCCGAGTACCATGACTTCTGGAAAGTCTTTTCAAGACATGTGTCAGAGCGCTTCCCAGAGGCTAAGCCTTGGGACCATGCTATAGATTGGAAGGTCACTTTCAAACCAAGAAAAGAACATATAATACCCCTCTCTGCTCCAGAAAGAGATGAGGTATCAAGTCTCATAGATGAACAACTTAGGAAGGGTTACATCAGACTCCAAAAGTCCTATGACGTCCCCGGTGTTCTTCATTCCTAAAAAGGATGGTAAAAAGTGTATGATTATGAACTATTGTTACTTGAATGAGTACATGGTTAAGAACATGTATCCGCTGCCTTTGATCAGTCAGCTAGTAGACAAATTGGCTGGTGCAAAGATCTTGACAAAGATGAATCTTAGATGGGGGTACAATAATGTACGAATCAAAGAAGAAAATGCTTGGAAGGCCGCGTTCACGTGCCACCAAGGATCCTTTGAGCCCCTTGTCATGTTCTTTGGGTTGACCAATTCACTGGCGACCTTCCAGAGCATGATGAACAAGATCTTTGCGGATATGGAGAACTGTGTCGTCATTTACATTGACGATTTATTAAAGTCGGACAATGAGGCTGAGCATGACAGGATCGTGATCGTTCAAGAAGTCCTTTGATGCTTACAGGAACGGGACCTATTTGTCAAACCCGAAAAATGTAACTTTAAAGTAAAGGAAGTAGACTTCCTTGGTATGATAATTGGCCAGAACAGAATCAGGATAGATCCTGAGAAAGTTCAAGCTATACTGGATTGGCCTGAACCTACTCGCGTCAAAGAAGTTAGGGCCTTCCTTGGCTTAGGCAATTTCTACCAAAGACTTTTAGAAAACTTTGCAAAAATAACGAGACCGTTGAACAATCTCACTAAAAAGGACATTGTTTGGCATTGGGGCGCCAAAGAACAGGAAGCTTTTGATAAGCTTAAACAGGCATTTACAACAGCACCCATATTAGCATTTCCAGAATTAGACAAAGAGTTCCAGCTAGAAACTGACTCTTCTGATTTTGCCACTGGGGCTGTTTTATCAAAATGCCCTGACAATGTTTGGATGCCTTGCGCCTATTGATTGTATAGTTTGTCGCCTACAGAGTGCAACTATCAAATTTACAATAAGCAGATGCTGGCCATCATCCAAGCTTTAGAGCACTGGCGGCACTACTTAGAAGGTGCTAAACACCAATTTGAAATTTGGACTGATCATAAGAATCTGGAGTATTTTATGACAGCCCGAGACTTGAACCAAAGACAGGCTCGCTACGCGGTGTACCTATCTAGGTTTAATTATAAATTAATCCATAAGCCTGGAAATTTGATGGGGAAAGCAGACACTTTGTCCAGAAGAGAGGATCATGCCAATGGCATCGAAGATGACAACAAATGTGTTACCCTGATTGACCAATCAAGGGTTGCCAATGTTAGAATTGGGCAGGATTCTGATCTTCTGGAAGTCTTCAAGAAAAACATCTCCTCAGAAGAGAAGGCACGCCTTGATGGCAATGAGAACTATTTATGGGAACACGGGCTAATCTATTTTAAAGACAAAATCTATGCCTGAGTCTGCAAGGATCAAGGCAATAGATAGACATCACGACACTCCAGTGGCTGGACACCCTGGGTGGCAACAAACAATGGAGTTGATCTCCACAAACTACATGTGGCCTGGCATGGTCAAAGACGTACAGGAATACGTAACGTAAAATCCTGTCTGAGATGTGCCATGGCAAAGAACTCACATCAACCGCCGGCCGGTAAACTTATGCCAAATCCAATACCAGCTGGTCCCTGGTAGGATATATTGGTTGACTTTACGACAGATCTGCCTGAGTCAAACGGGTATGATTCAGTGATGGTGGTAGTAGATTGCCTCTCCAAAGAAGTAGTGTTCATCCCCACCAACAAAACTATTACCGCCGCTGGTATGGCAGATCTATTTAAAGATTTTGTATGGTCTATTTATGGATTGCCAGAAACGGTTATCTCCAATAGTCAACCACAATTCGCTAGCAAATTTACGAAAGAACTATGCCGGATGCTGGGCATCAAACCTAAACTATCAACAGTGTTCCATCCGCAGACCGATGGATAAACAGAGAGACTCAACCAGGAGTTGAAACAATATCTCTGGATATTTATTGATGTCAGACAGACAGATTGGGAGTGGCTAAAGATAGCCCAGTTCTCATACAATATCAAACAGTCATCGGCTACAGGAAGAGCACCATTCGAGGTGACGAGATTGTACCTCCCGAGAATGGGTGTAGAACCTGGCAAAAGCAAAAACGAGGCTGCTGGGAACATGGTCAAAAATATGAAGTCTGTCTTGGACGAAACGTGCAAAGCGCTATTTAAAACTGCAGAGCGGATGAAAGACAGGGCAGAGCATAGATGCTCTAAGGCCCCTGACTACAAGGTCAGCTACCTAGTCTGGTTAGACACCAACCACTTAAATTTGAAGGATCGGCAGTCTAGAAAACTGACCAAAAAGTGGATTGGCCCTTACCGGATTAAGGAAGTCAAACCCAATGCAGTGGAGCTGGAACTCCCAAAACAAATGAGGGTAGTACCCACGGTCAATATTAGCTGTGTGAAACCCTACAAAGGACAGCTACTGGGACGGCGTGTAGACCGGCCCGGACCGGTTGTAGTCACCCAGGAAGGTGAAGAAGAGTTCGAAGTCAAACGAGTGGTGGATGCACACTTGAAGCGTGGACAATTAGGGTTCCTAGTCCTATGGAAGGGCTATGGAGATGAGCACAGAACATGGGAACCAGAAGCCCATCTGGACAATTCCCGCGATGCTATTTGCAAATTTTATTTTAAGAATCCCTCGGCTCCTAGGACGCTTAGAGGCATGGATTTGAACATTTTTTATTCCCTTTTTCAACCTATGCCCAAAAATTTAACTACTACCTCCAGTATTTGGCCTCGCCTGGAAGTTGAGCCTTAGAGGGGGTAGTGTTACGGAAACATATTTTCGGACCTTTCCTTTTATTTTCATTCTCCGCTTTAACCTTTTACTGTAGTTTTCTCACACTATGCCATGCGACACTTTCCTTCTGTTCAAACTCCTCTTTCTCGTGCTGTGCTGCCTTTCTTCTTATTTTAGCTACAAGTCTCTCATGCAGTGGAGCTGGTCACATGGGCTGCGCCCTCTGACATCATCAGCCACTGCCTTATCAACTGTATAGCACAACATGTACAAACAAACTGTAGTAGTATATATACCACAATAGATCCAGGAGACTCCTCAGCGAGTCCTCCTGTTGTTTACCCACAACTAACTTGGTCCTACCCTACTTAGTCTGTGTGAGGGCTTACCCGCTACCTCAGCAACTTTGACTGGTCAGCGGTACATACTGCTGATTGGTATTCCACCTCTCTTTGATTGACCAGCGGTACACACTGCTGGTTGATAACTGGTTCTAGTTGTGCACCAGAGTAACTAACTCTTGGTTGTTACAAATGCTGGCAAGGTTATAAGGGTGGATCTGGATGCTCATAATAAATGGAGGGAGAGTTTTCACCAGTTCCATCAAGATGACCATGAAATGGACATTGATCTTCCAGATAATAGATGGGCTCCATTTTCCACAGAATTAGACTGGAAATTTGCACATTTGGCATTGCAGGAGGGGGTTGGCCAGAAATCTCTTGACAGATTACTGGCAATTCCTGAAGTGAGTGACGCCTCCACACTTTGATTCATGTTTTATGTTAACTGACCTCCAACCTTTACACCAGCTTTCCCAGAGACTGGGCCTTTCTTATCAAAATAGCAGAAGCCTTCTAAAAATTATCGACTCCAAAATTCCTGAAAGGGCCAAATGGCACTCAAAATATCTACACTTTGATGATCATCCAGAAGAAAAACACCTTATACAATATAGAGACCCCTTACAAGCCATTGCGTCTTTGTTGGGCAATCCAGCACATGCAACAGATATAGTCTATAAACCCTCAAGAATATTCACAAACAGCAACAGGGATGATCGTATATTTAATGAGATGAGGACTGGCAAATGGTGGTATTCTGTACAGGTTAATATATTCATGCCAGTGGTTCCTTTCTAAATTTCATACTTATTTCTTTGATTTTAGGCTCTTCTACCTCAGAGAGCATCTGTTGCTCCTGTTATAATAGCGACAGACAAAACTCAGTTGACTCAGTTCTCAGGCAACAAGTCTGTATATCCAGTATATCTTACACTAGGCAATATACCCAGCTCTATTAGATGCAAACCCTCTCAGCACACTTGTGTACTTATTGGATATCTGTCTGTCAATAAATTGGTGAAAAAAGGCTTGACAACAAAGGAGAAGACAGCACGTGTTCAAAGACTTTTCCATGCCTCAGTACTGATGATTTTGGAGCCACTTATTGAGGTTGGACATAAAGGAATGGAGGTTACAGGTGGAGATGATGCAGTGAGAAAAATTCACCCTATTCTTGCTTGCTATGTTGCCGACTATCCTGAGTAATGTCTGGTGACTTGCTCAAAGTATGGAACATGTCCCAAGTGCAGGCATCCAGCAACAGACCCTGAAAATAAAGCAGCTGGGGAACCTAGGACGTCTGACTGGACTCTCTCTGTCATTAATCAAGCCTCTCTTCGAACTCAAGGAGAGAATTTTTTGATCAATGTATGGATAAAGATGTATCTGGAGGTGTTTACAGGCCACTTTGGGAAGGATTTCCCTACTGTGATATTCATCTTTGCATTACCCCTGATGTCTTGCATCAGTTATATCAAGGTGTCGTTAAACATATGATCTCATGGTGCCAAGATCTTATAGGTACAGAGGAACTGGATGCAAAAATACGCACTTTACCTCCTGCATATGGATCAAAGCATTTCAAAAATGGTTTATCGCCTCTCTCAGATATCTGGAGGCGAAAGAAAAGATATGGCCAAGATACTTTTAGGATGCCTTGTAGGAAAACTCCCCAAGCAGGCAATTATTGCAATTAGATCACTCTTGGACTTCATTTACATTTCTCAGTACCCCACACACAGCGATACAACCCTTGGATATCTATCAGATGCTCTCAAAACATTTCATCAAAACAAAGCAATCTTCGTCACTCTGGGTGTTAGAGAAAATTTGAATATTCCTCAATTTCACTCTCTACTGCACTATGTTGACTCTATTCGCTGGTTTGGGGCTACAAATAACTACAACACAAAAATATTTGAATGTTTCCACATAGATATGGCCAAGAATGCATGGAGAGATTAAATCATAGGAATGAGCATCCACAAATGACCACCTGGCTAACAAAACAAGAAAAAACTGTGTGGTTTGATTGCTATCAATTGTCTTTACAAAATAGACCAGTTCTACGTCAGCAAGATATTCTCTAGAATCCACCTGGCTTAGGTATTAAAATAGCCAAAGTACCTCCTCTTCCACAACAACCCCTTCAATCAATCCAACAAAACCACCAATGTCATGGCTTCATACGTGATATTAAGGAGTTTCTGAATCGCCGGTCAGCCAGGTTATATGTCAATATTGCAAATCTCCCATTTGATTCACTTGACGTATTCACTAGTTTCAAACTCACTCCAATTCACCTTGAAGATGATGCTAGTGCAAGTGTAAAGTACGAAATCATCAAAGCAAGACCTAGGTCCAAAGGAATTGCTCCACAGTTTGATAATGTTATCGTATCAGACTCATTAGAAGCAGAGTCAACAGGTGTTGCTGGTAATATTTTCCTCTAATTTCATGATCAGTTTCAAGTTGCGAATCAATATTTCATGACATAGGTACACGTGTTGGAAGAGTTAAAGTAATATTCAAGCTCCCTGCCATTTTTCATGGTGGTTCTGTTGGTATACCAAAACATTGGCCCAAAATTCCATTGGCGTATATTGAATGGTACACCAAGTTAAAAGGTAGTGCAGATCCAGCACATATGATGTATGTGATTACAAAACCGTATGTGATTACAAAACCGTATGTGATTACAAAACCTGCACTTAGAGCTGATGGTACTCCACCAGCTTCCATAGTACCATTGAGCAGTATACAACAAGGCTGCCACTTGTTGCCTTTGTTTGGAAAAGACCAAGTGCCTGCTTACTGGGGTACAGAAAATGCTTTGGATGTTTGTGATAGATTTCTATTAAATAATTGGGCTAGTTTGTATGCATACCAAACTATTTGGTGAATATTAATTCTATCATTATTAGTATCAGAAAAAGGTTCTCATAGACATAAATGAGCTAGTATAGCTGGTATAGCTGACATAGTAACTATAAGGCTTCACATAGAGATTTATTGGCTATAATAGGAATTTAATAGCTATCATAGCAGCTATAGAAACATACCCAGCTATATAGCAAAATGGTTTTTCCTGATGACCTGACAACAATCTGTGAAATTTTTGTCTTCTTCCCTCTTTTGCACTCAACTTGGATTTGAGATTTGCCACAGGATGAAGGACGCACAGGAAGCCGGACCGGTGCAGATGACTGGGAGAAGCCTTGATGTGTGATGCCACCTACACGTTCCAGTCTGAGCTGATTACCAAGTCATCAATCAACAAGTCAGCTTGAATCTGACAAGGTATGTCTAATTTCCCATCAGTGCTGTGATGCCTTTGGATGGAATTTAGACTTGCCTTATACATTCATTTTAGATATCACCAAATCCAATTGTGGACCACCATGAGGCCTGCTAGATAAAATTTATGTCGGTGAGTTTCTTGTTAATTTCCTACAATACTGACACTCCATTTCCAGGCCAATTTGTCATATAATCTCTCTACAATAACTCTATGCTTCCCCTCATAGATTCCTGCCTTGACGCATACTTGGTGAGTCAAATTTGTGGTATTATATTGAGTATTAGTGACTGTTGTTTCTCCACAACTGCATTGGATGCATTTGACCCCATGAAACAGCTCAGTGCAGAAAGTAATTACAGAAACACCCATGCACCAAATATCTACAACACAATGGTTCACGCAAAATCAACAGAAATCAATACAGGTATTGTTCATATGATAGTAATGGTACAAAAATACTAATATATACTCCAAAGATCTCCCGGCCGGTGAAAGAAAGCATCTACAAGAGCTGCAGAATATAGTCAGCAAAACCTGTGATCCCTCTACTCTAAGCAAAGAAGAATGCGACAATCTTTGTGGGCGCCTTCTCAATCATTGTGAAACCAATTCCTTGGGAAGCCGTGCTAACAATTTAGCAGCAGCAAGGGATGTCCTGGTAACCGCAAATAGAATTGGAAAGGAGGTAAAGTGACATCATTTCATTTATGATCCTCACTGATTTCTTGTTTTCAGCTCGATAATCTTGCTGCAAGGACAGGTGTGCTTATGGTTGTTTTTTCCTGACCCACGGTCACATATTTGGGGGAGCCCACCTGGTATGGAAGCAATAACTCAATGGACTTCTGGGAGGATTTTGTCGGGAGAGACCCGGACAAACTTGCTATGTTATTTGAACAATGGGCTTGTTCACGAAATCAGAGTAAGTACTGCATTGAGTTAATTTAATCTTCTCTCATCTTATTATTATTTCAGCCGTCCATGAACAAGAAGAACCTGCTAACTGCCGCCAACAGTGCATCAGGTTTTGTAGGAGCGGCTTGCGTAAGTACACATTGTCCCTATTCAATTACACTCAGTCACTGTTACAACAGGAAGCATCTTGAAACGAAAAACAAAGATGGTATATTATCAATATGAAACAGCCATTGTTTCTACCCATGGTGTGAAGATCATAGGTTGGCCACAGGACATGCCTTTTGTCAACCCATCCACAATAGGCACTGTGCTGGAAATTTGTAAACTCCATGATGCATGGAAGACTGGGAGCTGTCACTGGGTGAAGCTGACTTGAGCCCAACTCCAAGAGCATAAGGCACAGCTGAATGAACGTGAGCAAGTGGGTGAGGTGTTGAAGAAGAAGAGGAAAAAAAGATCTGATGCAGGTGTAGTGCATAAGAGATGCCAGGTCACTCAGAATAGCGAGAATGAGAGGGTTAGCGGTGGAGATAATAGACAGGTTGCGCCACAGCGACAAAGAGCTAACCAAAGGTAACCAAAGAGTGCAGAGGTCATTGTGTCGTCCTGAGAAAACCCTGACCAAGTGTGACAACACCAACAAGACACAGTCTTGGGGCACTGGAGCACAACAAAAAAAACACTCAAAAGAGTAATGAGAAGGAGGGATTTCCCCCCAAGGTGCGACCGTGTTAGTCGTTGGTAGACAACAGGAGGACTTGCTGAGTCCTTCCCCATGTATTGCTCCTGTATATATACTAAAATACATGAGGTACTGTACAGTTATAAATCAAGTTTAAAGTCTGATGTTTAGCATGCAACCAGTCACATGGTGAGCCTAGACACTGGTCAGGTGATGTGTCACATGACTGGTCATGTAACTATGAAAAGTCCGAAAAATGTAAAGTAAAGTAAATGGTCACATGACTGGTCATGTGACTTGGAAAAAGTAAAAGTAAAAAGTACAAAAAGTGAAGCGTAAGTAGGTGCTGGTATGTCAATTGTAACACCAAGATGAGTGAAGGACCAATGATGGCTTATGTTGTAATAGATCCCCATATGCCCCATTATGTTCCATGTACTCACCTCCATGTACCCCAAACATATGGATATCATACCTACTGTAAACATGGAAGCAATGAGACGAAGAAATGTCTGTGATAGGAGCTGAGTGGGGTGAAGGGAGGCGAGAAGGCTTGGGGAGCGGGAAGTGTGAGAGCAACTAGACACGCTTGAATTGAATGTAATATGGGTGACCGTTGTCCCCAACAGCAGTTGAGTGTTCAAAGCGACACCCCTCAGGACATATTATTGTATGCCAGAATTGCCTGTGCGTTGAAAGGTTATAGGTGCATGTGGTACACGTTCCTATAACTGGACAATGCACAGGCCTCTTTGATGTGTCTGGGTATATACAACATTGGGAGTCGGCAAATTGGAGGGAGGATGGGGAGAGCTAGCAAGCGACAGTGGTGAAGGTACTGTTTGAGCCCTTATGGTGTGTACCAGTTCTATGAGTGGCGGGGAAGTGTCCTGCATTGTTGGCGGCAGCGACAAAGACGCGCTGCACTGGGGTGATAGTGTTAGAATGACCTCCTGTGCAGTGACAGCCTATAGGCATAGCTGCGTTCCCATAAGCTGTCAATGAACAGGAGCCTCCACAGGTTGTAGATCCATGGGTTTTGTGACATAAGCGGGGGGGAAGGGGCAGTTAGAGGGAAAGGAATGGTCCACTGTTGATGACAATGGCGACAGCGACACTGGTGAAGAGATTGTGACAACTTGTTGTAGCAATGTTGTGTTGTTGTCAAATTGATGCCGTCCTGGAGGTAATGTGACTGATGATACCATCTGGCCTGGCTGTGCAGGTCCCTCGGGTCCGGACTCCGGTGGCAAGGGGAGGACAGCGTGTCCCATTTCCAGAGTCTATCTAATTAACCAAGGATTAATAAAAGAGGCAGCACAAAGTGCCTATCCCCTCTTATTAGAGGTGCATCAGAGAAGTATTAACCACTCTAGTTACAGGACAACTGTGGGAGCGACAGGTGGACAAAGTTTGTATTTTAAAATTTCTGACAGCACAATCAAACTGCAATTAGCAGTTAGTGCATATACTGATTTTTTGGGAATTTTTGGGAATTGTTTTGGGAATGGCCAAATATTTAGGGTTAGGAATTTGAAAAATCATCTAGGTCAAAATTGGCTCGTGCAGATCTTATCATTGGGTTCTAAATACACTATTTTCACAATTTTTGGTTGACTAGAACATTGTGGTAATGAGTGTTAATTCAATGGGTTAATTTGTTGAGTTTGTCTGTCCACAACTGTAGTGCTATTTAAGGGCATATACACTTATCATACCTTCACCAATTTCCTGATGGAGGCCTCGAATAGCGATTTTTCGGACGCAATTAACTCCTTTGAATCATCTCGGCTTTAGACTAGAAAAGCACACAGTCTGTTGAACTAGTATATTTTGAGATTATTGGCAGCACGAGTCAATGTACCGCAGCCGATTCAGACAATGAGCTTCTTTGCAACCTTGCCCTTTTTCTCCGAATCCTTGTGTGACAGAAACTCCACTTCAGTCGATAGAGGACCAGCTAATTTTTGACCTTCTGAATAGCCGAGCACGCTCGTCTTGAAATGCTTTCCAACAGTCTCGATACGTTCACGCAACCTCTCGTCGTCCTCTCCACCTCCAGTCGGAGCTAATCTAGTCCAGATCGATAGTCTATAAAATTGAGGTCGAGTAGAGACAATTACACCTGTTATCAAAGACTGAGTGTACGACGAGTCTCCGGGGCACCCATGTGCAAGATGCGGGTCGAAAGTTTCGCCAATTGCAGCTAGCATCTAACATAGAATATTGGGTTTGTATATTATCGGATGTGATGAAACGCACAGTATATAACCACATCTTGTCAATGTTATTACGATTCTTATCTTTAGGTAGCTGAATGCTCCACTTTCCTCCGTTCTTGTTTGCATCGTCTTCCCAAGCCGGTATTATACCTTCCTATTGAAAAATGAACCTATAATATAGACAAGTTGACGCTATCCACAAACCTTGAAAAGATAGTAGTTCGCTTTCTGGGGCAAATGTGAAGGCGGGACAATATTGTTGTACAATCTGTCGTCTCCATAAGACAAAATATCCCGAAAGGCCATTTGAACACGAACTTACCCCCAAAACTCTTCTACACTGTCAAAGCTGATAACCCTCTTAATATCTTCCATCCAACCCTGAGCAGCAGCAACGCTTGGTGTTTGGGGGATAGGCGTCTGAGGGAAAGAGGATATAGGAGTCTGTGGTAGATTACGACCTTTGGTCGCAGGAGAGTCAAACCATAGAGTCCAAGGAGAGTAAAGTGGATGCTGATGAGAATCAATCTAAGCCCAAAAGTTACAATAAAAGCTCTTGAGACTCACCTTTACGTTGAAGTTGGTGGGATCGCTGAAGACAGTACGAATACCTTCTGCTTGCGCTTGCATGTCGACTTCTGGATTATCGCCAGACTCGTGGATTGTAGACTGAGTAATGATTTGTTCATTGGGGCCGCCTTGGTCGGCAAGTGCAGATGAAAGCGCTGCCCTGGACGCCTGTAAAGCAGGCGCGGGTAGAGATGATAGCGGCATGAACAAATGACGAGAAACAACTTGAAGTCTAAGAGAAATTCTGCGTATTCTTCGTAAGGGTTACAGATCCAACGTACTAACTTTTTAGATGATCACACATGATCCTCTATTTTAGGGCGGAGAGTCAGCGGGGCTTGTAACGCACCGGATCCACCCACCCTTCACAAAAGTAGGCATAAACCAACTTGTCACCATCTGCAAAGTGCAAAAATTTGCTTAGGCTTAAGCGCTATTTGTAATTGTGTGCTTCTTCAAGGTACTGACAAAACTGGATAACCCGGTCTCTGCTAAAGCAGCCATTGTTCTCCATGGACCATAGCCACCACTCCATGGAGTCACCATTGTTCTCCTAGGAGTCATTATACTGTAGCAAGTAGCACCTCCAACCATAAGTAGTAGGGGGTTTAGTATAGGAATACCTCAGTCATTTCTATAGCCTCTTGGGCAGCGGCTGAGGTATGTTACATTACATTTAATAGAGATCACCTTTAAACTAACATCTGTTGTAGTTTCACTTAGGTAAATAATAAGTCATTTCTATAGCCTCTTGGGCAGCGGCTGAGTTTCACTTAGATTTATTGGGTTATGAGCCCTGGTGGCGCAAAAGCTACGCAGGAAATGATTCTTATTTGAAACGGCAACCTCGGAACCATGACTACAGCACACAATACATCCGCATGTCCAGTTCTCACTGGACCCAACAATTTTCAGATATGGAAACTCCGGATCATCTCAAAGCTACATTGGGAAAAGGTTCTCCAAGTTGTTACTGGAGAGGAGCTTAAGCCCTCACCAGGAAAGCCCACCTCCTCAGAGGATCCTGAAATCACCTGGATACTTAAGGATGAGAAGGCACACAGGACCACATCTCCAATGCCCTCCTAATGAGGACTGGAGACCTCACCAGCTCCAAGGAGTTATTTGATAAACTTGTCTCACTCCATCAGACGTCCAACATTGCCTTGGCCTTCTATTCATTCCAGCAACTCACCAAATTGTCCTGGGATGGGACATCACCTATCCAGGACCACATTGCGAAAATCCGGACAATTGATTCACACCTCTCCGGAATGAAACTAGGAGTTGATACCAAACTTATGGCCTTTGCTCTTCTCCAATCTCTCCCATGCACTCCTGAATGGCAAATATTTCAGTCATCGGTAATCAACACAATTGAGGAAAATAAACTTACCTTTGATGCAGTTGAGATCCGGATCACTGCAGAAGTTGCACGACAGTCAGGGAAGACCCCTGGAGGTTCTGAATCAGCACTCAAATCCGAGGAGAAGTGGTGTGACTTCCACAAAGCCAAACCACACAACACCTCAGAGTGTCAAATGATTTCTCCAAATTTCCATGGATATATTTCCTAAAACATAAAAGTGAAGCACTGGAACGATACAAGCAATGGAAAGAAGATGTCCAAACATTCTTCTGGACTCATTTGGGAAAAGAAAACTTCACTCCACTATACACAGAATTCCTCTGGAGCAATGGGGGAGGAGAATATACTGGCAATGCATTCAAAAATCAACTCCAAGAAGATGGTGTCGTCCAAGAAACTACAGCTGCAGATACTCCGGAACAAAATGGCATTGCAGAACACATGAATCAGACATTGGCTACATTAGCAACCACTATGCTCCATGATTCCAAGCTCCCAAAGTCATTTTGGGTAGATGCCATGCAAACAGCTGCATATATTACAGCATGCAGCCCAGCATCAGGACTCCATGGAAAGACCCCATATGAAATACTGTTTAAAAGGAGAGTTGATCCAACTTTATTTTGCTTTTTCAGATGCCAAGCATATGCCTTGATTCCAAAAGACAAAAGGCAAGGGAAGTTTTACTCCAAAGGGCACATAATGATTGGCTACACACATGGAAAGCAAGCCTACAAACTCCTAGACACTGAAAAACGGACTGTGTTTTCCAGTTGGCATGTCATATTCAATGAATTTGGAAAGGTACAAAAGGACGACACTGCTCTCTGGAACACAGACACTAGCACAGATCAGTGGGAGGGACTCATTCCAGAGAATGCTCACTATCCAGACCAAAATACATTGGAGGAGGATGATCCTGACCCTTGGATCCGAGATCCAAATGAATTGCAAATGATCCTGACCCTTGGATCCGAGATCCAAATGAATTGCAAATGGAACCACATCTCCAAGGAGATGTTCCACAAGCAATGGAACCATAGAGACGTTCCGAGAGCAGTGGGAGCACCTGTCTCTACAACCAAGACCTGAACACTGGCCATCTTCAGAATGGAAAGCCAAAACCAAGACCTGAACACTGGCCATCTTCAGAATGGAAAGCCAAAGTAGAGTCACAGTCAGTGGGAGGACAGCCCCTCAACATACAGCCAGCTGATGTGGAAAAAGTCCAAATACAGCTAGACAGCCTGTCTATTGGATCAGCTTCTGGAAGGCATACAACACCTCCAAGGAGTCACCCAATGCCTCTGAGGAGTGATTCAACTCCTTCAGGAGTGAGTGGGGCAATACACACACAAATGCGTCTACTCCCTGGAGTACCTGCACAAGTTCCTAAAAGAGCAGCCATGCCTGCTGAAGTCCTAGGAGTACACAGAAGCAGTCACCAGACCCGTCCTGCAGACAAAAACCGAGATTATCAAAGGACTCTAAGTGAGGAACAGTCTCAAAAAGAGCAGCATAACAACTCCATGGAGAAACCTAACACTCCTGAGGTTCATGAAAAAACATCTGATACAGAGGAGACATTCTTTGCTAGAATAGCAAGTACCGGTCCATCTAACACAGACCTTCCAAGGACACTAAAGGAAACCTTATCACGTCCGGATGGAGAATTATAGAAGTCTGCCTTGGAGGAGGAGCTCCTAAGTCTCAATATTAATGCAGTATATGACACTAACCCACTTCCAAAGGGAGTAAAACCCATCACATCAAAACCTGTGTTCCGGATCAAGTTTGATCAAAACAGAAACATTGAGAGATATAAACTCCACAAGCAAAAGACAAAGCATGGTAGCTTTATCCTCCATGGAGTCAGAGTAGAACTCCCAAAATAAATAAGAGTAGTACTCACAATTAATATTAGCCGTGTAAAACCATAGAAAGGGCTGTTTCCTAGACAGTGCATGGACCAACCCAGACCGGTTGCAGTCACTCAGGAAGGTGAAGAAGAGTTTGTTACAACAGCATTTTCAGCATCTATTTTCACTTTTATTTTATTTTTTATTTTTTATATTTTTTTTTTTCTTTTATTTTTTGACTTTTACTTTTGAAAAGCACATCACCTAACTGATGTCTAGACTCATCATGTGACTGGTCACATGACATGACATCATATCTTTACTTACTCAGCAATCACATCATATAAAATACAGTGGAACATCACAGAGGAGGACAGAACATGGGAACCAGAAGCCCATCTGAACAATTTCTGTAACACTGTTCACAAATTTTATTCTAAGAATCCCTTAGCTCCTAGGAAGCTTAGAGGCATGGATTTAAATATTTTTGATACCCTTTTTCAACCAATGCCCAACAATTCAACCACTACCTCTGGAATTTGGCGGAGCCTGGAAGTCAAGCCTTATGAGGGGGGTTAGTGTTACAGTTCAGTTTTTGGACCTTGAAATTTTGTAGGGCTATCTTGTATTCAGTGTATACCTTGACAGCAAATCCATCTCTCACATCCATAATGTAAAACATTTTATCATTTCAATTCGCCGTTTGAAAATAGGGGCTGAAAACCTTTGATAAGACAAAAGGTTGATTGAAGAATTGGTACAAATAAGTAAAGCTGTACAATTTATAGCCACAAGTTACTGTTACACATCGAAACATAAGAGGTGGATTTTTCTGGCTGACAGAAACCTGCCCCTTCCGAAGAATGGACATTTTAAATGAACAACTTTATCTTGAATCTAAAATATCACGAAAATATCTTCCGGTCTGGGCCATGCAGACGAAACATGAACTGGAAGCTATATTGCTTCGTGTCAGTGTCCCAATGCGACCAGTTCCAATATCCCGCATCGTCTGACTCGTCTTCGATCTCTCGAGCTGGGATTCGGAAAGCAACGGTTTCATATGGTTCAGCCGCAACCTATGCAAAATATCAAGGATATAGAATTTTGTATCAACCTTGTTTGTACTCACAACAAGATACTGATACGCTTTGTTGGGTGGCTCTCTCTTTTGTTCCCAAGCACTCATGAACCTTCGTCGAGGTATCACATCAGGCTTCATTTGTGGCAAATGTACTTGCACCATCATACCCTCCTTTCCCGTGTCCACGTCCCTCACTTTCGTGACTCTATAACCTGGACGTCCAATTTTGAGAAACACTTTGCGCTGCACATTGCTTTGAGTGGGAGCGATCATTAACTGTGTATCTTTGGCATCACGAGCAGCACGACGGGCGAGATTTGTTTGGTGTTTCTTGCCTTGAGTATGAGCCAAGTAAGAGCCTTCGTTTGTGTGTAAGGTCAAGCAAAGACGGCACTCGAGAGATCCAAGATGATTGCGGAGAATATAAGGATCCTATAACGGCAAAGAACTCTCGATGATAAGAAGAAAAAACAAGGATATCGGCAAAATCCAAACCTTGGCAAGGTCAATAGTTTCCAGTGCCAGTTTCCTCAGACGCTCCCTCCTATCAATATTCGATTCGGATGCCCCCGCCACGCCTCCACCGCCAAATTTCGACCCAACACGATTCTACAAGCATCGACTCTTCAGTCACATTTAGTGGGTGAGTTTACATGAGTATTCACCTGGTAGTCTGAAAAAGAATATCAGAACCAGAAAAGATATAGTCTCCATATTATATGGACCTACCCATTCTTTACTGAAAAGGCCTTGATGATATAGTGGTCTTCGAGTTACGGATGGAAAAGGTCATAAGTCGGGAGGTGATCAAGAATATTATTTGATGTCCGTCGAAACTCTAATTCACACTGTTACCGGATGGTTACGGATGAAAACCTTGTACATGCCGCCTATCGGCATATTTTTTTTCAATCACCGTTCTCACTACTATCGTTGGACACCGGATGCAACCGGTGAGAGATATGCACTTGGGCCTCCGGAGGCTCGATCACTGTACAGGTAGCTAGAAAATTGTTAGATGTAGAATATAGTATAGAGAATATAATTGTGAAAAAATTTAGTGAATAGCTTATCTGTAGCAGCAACGACAGACCTGACACTATGCTCTTGAACTCCAGAAGTGTGAATTTTGAGGGAAAGATGGCCAGATTTGACCAGATCTCGTGCTGGGAATATTGCAATATCTTTCTAGAAAACGTCAATAGGTAGGTCCCTACAATGCCAGATACTTACTGAGCTGATTGGGGCCTCAAAGCGTCTGGAGAAACGAAAACAATGATGGAGTCGTGACTAGGCGACCGAAACAGGCAATCACACACCAAGATAATCAATCAAGGACCGCTAGCTCCGCTTCGGTACGTACCGCACATACATACCACCAGCATCAGGACTTGGTGTGACCTGGCGGAATTTGACTTGTAAGCTCCGCCTGATTTGGTCTGTGAGTGCCGCTGTGACCCAGCGTGACCAGAAATTGCAGAACCATTCCAAAACATGTGTCGTCTTTTCAGTTTTGTTCCGCTGCTCCAATGCTTCAAGTTCTTGCTTATTTTTCTACATAGGCAGCTAGAAAACTAAAAATTATATCTACTGGTCAAGTTCCGACAGTCTAAAGCTCAACGACTGGTGAGTTATTCAACTTCTCCCCAGACCAATTGCACCTATTGTCCAACGATAGTATAGACTAGTATTTATTCTGATAGTTCATTACTACGCCAATCCGGGCCAACCTCTCCAAGGTAAATGAGCACTACCTCTCGCAGAGGTCTGCGGAGCTATTTGTCAGATGAGTTTTGTCGACATGTTTCAGGTAATACCCAAAGAGATCATAATTACATGTCAGACGCAATAGTCCCAAATGGACAATACAACACCTTCATGAATGATCCGGCTATGTTCATAGCAGTAATTGTTTAGTTTGTTTTACTGATGCAATACTCACAATGATAGACTGGCATCTTGCCAATGTCAGAGCCACATATTTGGGGCCTCTGTTTAATGTGCAGAGAATACGAGTGGTGATAAGTTGGGGAAGTCGTTTAGCGACAATTTCCCCCATAGAATGTTTTAACCCTTTGTGAAGTGTTTGCAGCATCACCTGCTGCACCCGCTGTCAGATAATATTTTGTACAAGTGTCCATCCCACATTGTCAAATTAAAATTACTGTTTTGCACCATATAGCAAGAACATGATGATAACATTAGATTCTCAAGTGAGACAATATGATACTATGGTTAGTGCCATGAATGAATAACAAAAGAACAATATGAATGACTGTAAATAACAATTTGGCAGACACAAGGTAGATTAAAGAACGGTAGGATAGTCAAACAAAAAAAAAACACTTAGGGAGACTGTGATCACCAGATTAACTGAGCATGAGTCATCCTCTGCCATTCAATGCTCACTGTGTTGACCGGAGGGACCAGTCTCCCTGGCTCAGCATAGGTTGCCATGTTGACTTGGAGAATCTCAGTGAAGAAGCTGTAACAAGGGCATCCGGAAAAATGGGGGTAGCTATATAGAGCTCTATAGCACTATAAGTACTCATAAAGCTGTTATAGTGGTCAAACCTGTTATAGACCCTCTGCCATCTATAGAGCCTCATATAGCTCTATAAATGCTCTTATAGATGTTGGAAATTGTTGTGTGGCTGATAAAAAAAATTAACACAGACAGGATTTGAACTCTCAACCTGCTAGTCAGCTTTTGGGTGACAAAGCAACCTATAGCCACACATCACATTTATCCACTACACCATGAGAGCTTATAAAATATATCATACAGGTGTTATATATTGACCTTTCATGGACTTAGATTATTTTTTTACTCATTGTCACCACTTATATTTGGATAAATTATTATTCTTATTTTATAAATATCAAAGATACAAACTACTATTTCACCAATACAGGCTACATAATTAATTAATACTGTATGATTTATTAGCCCTTTTAAGCACCTTGAACTATATTATAACTATGACCTTCACAGCTATAGGAGCTATGTAGGCTGCTATAGGCTATAAGAGCACTTATAGTACCTTGCCCATAATAATATACTTGACTCCAAACATTTTTGGCCTCTTTCTATTATTGAACAAGTATATTAGATTAATCCAGAGTTTAAGGGAATTATAGATACTTCTCCCCTTGGTTGTAATTTTGCCTGCTACTGTGCTATAAGAGCTATAAGAGCTATGATTGCACTGATAGTACTATAGTTTCTATGAATGCATTTATATATATAGGTGGTGGCTATATAGCGCTATATAGCAAAAGGGTTTTTCCTGATGGGTCAAATCACCGTCACACAAATATAACAGCTAAACGACTCACTCTTTTACATTATCTTCCCATTCCTCAGTGGAACTAGTCCCCTTCTTTCCATGTTCCTGAACCTCTTCAAGCAACCAGTTGACGTATACCCAGAATTGTTCATCCTTCCATAAGGAGGGCAACCTTGCCTTGCTGCCTGTCTTTTCTATGTCTCGCTCGCTCATTGGAGTCATAGCTCTGCCTTCAAATTGGTTGCCATCACCATTATCACTACTGGCTTCTTCATGGTCATAAAGAGTATCTCAGTTGGAGCCTTGTGATGCAATAGTCCTGCAAACTCAACCAGGGTGTTACAATACATAATTTTTGGACCTTTGAACTTCATTCTCACTTTAACTTTCTTTTGTAGTTTTCACACATTGTGCCATGCGGCACTTTCTATTTGGTTCAAACTCCACTTTCTTGTGCTGCACTGCTTTTCTTTATTCTTAGCTACAAATCTCTCACGCAGTGGAGCTGGTCACACGGGCTGTGCCCTATAACATCATCAGCCACTGCCTTCATCATCTGTAGATGTATATAAGCCCCAATAGATCAAGGAGACTCCCCAGCAAGTCCTCCTGTTGTTTACCCACAGCTAACTTGGTCCTACCTTAAGGGGTAACCACTCCCACTCACTTCACTACTGCTTGTCTGAGTTGTGCGCCAGAGTATACAAACTCTTGATTGTTACACAGGGAGGTACACTATACATCAGTGAGCATGTTGTAGTGGCCTAGGTGAGAGTGACTTACTAAGAAGACAATCCTCACCCAGTGCGCCATGGTTATCTCCATCATTCCTGGCAGAATGAGGGCTTTTGTCAAAGTGGTGATATCCTGTTTCTTCTGGATGCTGGATGCTGGTCCATAGCTAGAATCAAATAAAATAAGTCCTTGTCTACCTACACATTTATTAAATACTGACCTTTGGTTCTATGTTTCCTCTTGCCAATGTTAGTAAATCTTTACTTAATGACACCACTTTACTTTGCATTTTGGGATTTTGAAGGAATTCCTGTTTGATCTTGAAGACATTCGGGTTTTTCTCCAAAAATTCCTATACAAGATGTTAGAAACCAAAAAAGTTTGATAAAATCCACTTACAAAAATGTGGTCTCCCAGATCTGTCACATAAGCTGTGAGGTTTGGAGAGAACAAGCATGCTTGTAGACGGTCATTCAACAGTTTTTAAGTAGTTAACAATTAAATCTTCCTGAATTAAAAGAAGAAAAAATATACCTTAAAATCAGCCAAGTCCAACATTTCCATAGCTGTGTCTCGTTTGGACCCCCGACCAACAGTGTCCATTGCCAGAAGATGGCCTTTTATGTTGAGTAACATTTTTACCGTACTTCCCAACTTGTAAAGACAATTATCACCATCAATATCAACATAGAATAACTAAGGTTACTTGTCTCTGCAAAATTATCTAAGCTGCATGGAGGGAGCTTGTAGCTTTTGCTTAGCTCCACTCCCAGCCCTTCGAGACACTTAATGCTGGTTGGATTGAACTCATCTGCTGAGTCAAATGGGGACAAGTCAAACAAGTTGGGAATCCCCCAGGAGTCCTTGGAGGGCTCAGTGAAAGGTTGTCGCCCAAGTTTGATGGGGAGTCTGGAGGAGAACTCAACTCCCCCCTCTTTTTGCAAGCCCATCTGTGACCTGTTGACGCTTGAATTGTGCAAGCAAAAACAATTGACCTGCCATACCAGAAAAAATCAGTGACACAGCAAGCTCAGAGGACAATGGCAAGCAAAAAAGCTTCAAAAGGGTTGGGCAAAACTCAGACATAAGTGATACACTTCAAGTTCCATGTCTCCGCAAACACAGAAGCAAGCAAAGCATTCATCTTGTGAAGCCCCTAAAAAATAAGAGAAATAATACTTCATAGGGTGAAACATGTGAACATTAGCTGGAGTTGTGATATTAAGGACGGGGCATAGGCTGGAATGGCAAATATGAATGGAGTGAAGTTGTTTGGGACTGGTCACTGTGTGGATAGGGATTTAATGCAGGCAGCTGATGATGCAGAAAATGAGAAATTCTATGTTGTAGTGTTAAATGCAGTCCCGGATATGCATTGAGATGATGCTGGTAGTGTAGATGACTCGGTTGTAGAGGTGAATTTGGTACAGAAGGAAGATGATGATGGTAGTGCAAGAACTGAGATGGACCAGAACCTGGCGTAGAGTTCTGGATGGGCAAAGAATCATAACTACGATCATGGTAGTGAGATGGGCTAGGACACTGCAAAAAAGTTGGGAGAGGATACAGATTGTGACTATGGTTATTCTGGTGAGGAGGTGGGACAGGTTGTGGTGTCAATGGAGACAAGAGCTGAATGTTTGAGGGCCTGGGCTGGAATGGCAAATTGAGCTGTGGAGAGATGGGCACTGCATAACTATTGCTCTTACTATTTCCTTTTTAGTTTCTCGTCTACTTGGCATACAATCAAAGGCTGGTGTTGGTATTACAACTCCTTGGCTTTCAAGAGAGCCAATTGTGTCTTGCTCTTCAACACCTTGAGCAGCCTTCTTTTCATGTATAAACTTTGCTGCATTAAGTTGGGCCTCTTCAACATTGTTTACCTGAGGTGTTTTGGCGCAAATTTGAGAGGGAACTACCAAATAAATGTGTCTGTAATCATGTAGTGAGTAAATATTTAGAAAACATTGATTAAATTGCTTGTGCACGACCACTTGGGTAATTTTTGTGGTCTCGCTGTATTCTTAACGCACAGGCACCATGGCAGTCTTGCTACAATTTGCAGTAATACAATCATGGAGAACATTAACTGTAACCACAAAGTTCTTCCCGGTGGTCGGTGTAATATGTAGTAGCGAGGATCACAATGAACTTACTTCAGCAGTTAGAAAATTCTGTGCATCTGTAATCCGCAGGATATGTATTTGAAGTTTGGTGTGTACAGAGGGCTGGAACTCTAGATAAGTAACAGCTATATAAGCGGACACTCTGGACTTCTTCTCAGTTACAAGAATCTCTTCTACTTTGCCAACACGGGGGTTGGCTCCATTAGACAACGAGGAGATGACTATGTGGCTCCCAAGTTTTGCTTTGTTTCTATTCTGTGCAATAAATGTTAATGCCTTCAACAACCTAGGTTGATTGACAGGGGCACTAGGTTGGCACTACATTAGTACTTGCACAGCAAGCATAACCAAATTTTGTCACACCCACAATTAATGAAAAAGCTTGGAAGTAGTTAACATATTTGATTATATTTTGGACCTACAAGATTTTGTGAGAATGATGTATCTTGGTTGACATATTTCCATGAATACTATGTTTTGTGTGGAAAAATAGAAATATGTTAACAAAAATAAATTATTCTCACAAAATCTTGTAGGTCCAAAGTACAATCAAATATTTTAACTACTTTCAGGCTTTTTCATCAATTTTGGGTGTGACAAAAGTCAGCTATGCTTGCTGTGTTGATGTAAATATTCGACGAGCGTGTTGATTGCCAGGGGATACTCCCGGGCATCTTGCCTGGTGCTGTTGTAATTAACCTGGCTGAACCAGCTACCTTCTTGGTATTTGAATGAAGACTCAATAGCCGTTGTTGCTCTGGGTGGTTAGCAATGTAGTTTGTTATCACATGACCTGCACTAAGCAAGTTTCCAGTTGCAGAGTCACACCAGTACCCCCCTGTAGCAATGTGTTTGATGGCGTCTTATGATGCAAAGGATTGGCAGCTACCTTGGCTAGGTGTTACGCACAAAGTGCTTAACAAAGTCTGAGGGTTCGCCGAGGTTTGTAAAGAGACTTATCCGAAGACAAGTTCGAGAACATAGTTCTGGGTGGAGGTTTTCCAACGGGAGTTGGTCTTCTTCTGAATAGAAGTCTGATCTTAGGAGTCTAGCTTTGTAAGCGTAAACTGCGTAGAATTGTATTAGAAAATACTACTGCTGTTACATGGTATTTATAAGGGAAAGGAATCGGTGATAGGAGTTAGGTCCTATCTAGGGCAGGTCCGTCTGTTGAGGACTAAGTACTATAATAGGTACTGTGAATGCGAGAGGAATGGAAATGTATGTGAAGGAAATGAGTCATCGGTCCGATGGTATAACCGATGAGTAAAAAGAAATGAGTAGTCCTTAAATGTCCAATAGAGATTGTAACACTAGGAGCTTTGCGGTTGCTGTAAACTGAAGAAAGGCGGAATATGTGGTTGAATAATTTGTATCATTCAATTGAGAAGAGTAAAGTGGGACCAAATCTGCATATGAAGGCTGGTAAGTGAAGGAGAAAACGAAAATTTGGTTTTGTGATCAGAATGCTTGGTGTGCATTTCACTGTGATATTTAAGAACTCTTTGATGGTTCACGAGAGTTGAGCCTATGATTTTTTGTGTAAGTGTCTGTGTTCAAGCCTTCAATTAAACTGTAATGGGACTCATCAAATACTTCTTGGTGTGATCTATTTTTGTGTGCCACAAAAGTACTACCAAGTTGCCAATGACACTCTAAGCGTCCAAGACATCTTGAGAAACTAGGTCATATGTAATATACGGCATTACCTGGGCCAGATTTTTGAAATGTTTGCCAATGAGACTGCCCTTGAAACAATAGATGTATTCTGCCTCAAGTTGTACTGAATTAAGGCCATTCTTGCTGATGGATTCAAGCTGTGTCTGCAAAGTAGTTAGCAAGTGGGACTTATCAAGCAGCCAGACTATTTGTCCCCAAAAATTCTTTACTACCCCTAACAGTACGGTGTGCAAAATCTCTGTGGGAGTGTCTTGATGGATAACCACAGCTGGCATGCCTAACAATGGGTTTATATTGTTGTCAAGCATAGAACCGCGCAGTAATGTTTCAAGTTCCTGTTCCAGTCGCTGGCACACTTCAGATTCAGGTAAAGCAGGTTTTCCGGCTTCGCGCTTTTGCAACTGCTTGCACTGGGCAAGCAGTTGTTGAACAATTGATGCACTAGTACTATCGCATATGCCAGAGTTTGTACCTGCATTTTTCACTTTCTCGGTTCCACCTGACTTGAGTGAAATGTCAACTTGCTGCAGAATTTCATTGCGTGTCTCTTGAGGAGTCCAAGTAGCTCCACACTGTAGAAACAAAGTTACAAAGCAAAAGAAAAACACAGAAATAAAAGACCTACTTTGAATATACACTATGTGATGCTTATTCTATTGCTTTGAAACATTTCCCGACATGTCATCCATGAAGACAATCAGTGAAACTGTGAGCACCAACCAGCCACCTGATTTGGTGTGAAGAGGGTTAGGCATTTGAGTGGCAAAGTGTGCAGATGGATCTAAGCAGCATTCAAGTTAGAAGATTGAAAAAATTGTTAGTAGGGAAAGCTTACCTGTAAAGCCTGAAAATTCCAATGGGTCAGCCTGTATTTTGACAAATGTCTGCATAAATGTAGATGTAGGTGCTATAACCCTCTCTGGATCAACATAAAACCGGCCCTACATTTGGTAAAGATCTGTCAGTAATTTGTTGTCAGTAATCAGGATCAAAGCAGGTGTACCTCAGATGGCATCACAGAGTGGCCAATGGCTAGAATCTTGTTACCCTCCTCAGCTCAAGACTGAAAAAGTTTTTTGGGGATAAAGTAGGTGCCATTGATTTGTTGCAGGAGTTCGTCAACAAAGTATATCTTGCCATTGACAAGGATAGAAGGTACAGCGAGGACGGGAGGGAGGTTAAGTAACATTGATGGACCTGAGACATGGTACCATCGCCTTCTTCAGGATAGTCTTGCATTGCGTATCTAATTATCAGGTTAGAATAGTCCTGCAAAGTATGGGGTAGAATTAAATTTGCTGACACATATAATAAAAGAATACCTACCTTTGCAATTGCTTTACCCACTGAATTCTGATAGAAAATATTGCCAGAATTGGTAGTCTTCTTTTTATCACAACACAATGGGATCTGCACCCGTGTACAGTGATTCTGGACCTTCTGGGCATGCAACCAATCAGTATGCTTTCCAAGTACGCCTTGGTAGCTTAGTTGGTAAAGCACCAGACCATGAAAGCTGGAGTCCCAGGTTCAAGCCCTGGCCAATGCATGTTTTCTCATACTATAAACAAGTGTCATAATTTGTCACTTTTTGGTGGGGTTGCCTACCAGGTTGCAAATTTTTTCTTGGCATTTTTTCAACACGTAGAGCATTGGAACATTGTGCACCAGCAATTCATTTACCCAGGATAAGATGGCCTTTTGCTGAGGTTGTGAAAATCAAAGTTGCAGTGAATTGAAACTCAGTCGCAAACATGTGGGTAAAATTGGCATAGTTTTGATAAGAGAAAAAAGGTAAAATAACAAATGTACCGCTAGAGATGGCCATGGATAAGTAGGTGAGCTGGAATGAACATCACTTTGTGATGTTTCAAACAAGTTCTCAGGTATATCTATAAAGCAATGAGTTCAGACGTGAATCAGATAAAGTTTGCCCTACCTGGATATTCAATGCCAAAATTGTTGTCATTGCCTTCAATCCCTAGTTCTTCAGTGGCAGGACACAAACAGCATGAAAAAGTACTATTGCCCTTGCTTAAGGATTTGCATAGGCCTAGTAGATGTTGACTCCAGGCTGTAGCCTGAAAGTTTGGGAGCCAGCATTTGATCCCCATAAATCATGAAATAGAAGTGGAAGATCAGATGGCTGGTCTTGGGGGTCAGTGGGAGAGTGAGGTTTATTGTATGGCGAGGGAGAATTGCAATAGAGAGAAGGTGAAGACACCACATGATCAAAACATGTTTGCCTTTGCATCAAGCTTTAGCTACAGGCCTCAGGACTTGGTTATTCAACAGATGCCAGTGTAAGCAACACAGCTACCCTAGTGTTGGTGTTCAACTTCCCACACTTGTCCGTTTTCCCTCCAACTCACCAACTCAATGGCAACAGTCACTTCTACTATTTTATATCCTCAGGTCACTAACAGGGACTGGGGCACCAGGAATAGATTGCGCCCGTTGAATGTGGCAATTATTTTTGAAGGATCAGTTCCAACTTCAAGGATTTCCTTTGGAGAGGTTATGAGTTTTTCCTCTCATGAATGGTGGTGTTGACAAAAAATATGTAATCCAGCCATTGAAGGTAACAATTACACTACTGCCAGACTGTGCTGGCATCACACCTGTGATAAAGGAGGGGCCTGTGGATTTCAAGTATGGGGAGAAAAGTTTAATGTCAGTCTTCTCCAAAAATCAAGAGGTATGTATCAGCACATACTTCCTGTTAATTTTGCGCTGAAGGATTGACAGGAAACATGTGAGCTAAGCATCCCCCTGTCATTCTTACCTCTGCAGTCCAGCTACAATCCTTACGACACACAGTGCTGGATAGCTCATGAACATGAGACAGTCCCTGGAGTGGACTTGGGGTCAAGAGGTTTTCTGGATGGCCTACAGTATATTGCTGCCTATCCCAAGTTTCCTTGCGGCAAATGGGCTCACTGGAGCCCAAAAATTTCTCCCAAAGGATTTTTTTTGGAGGGCTGGATAGTGTAGAAGGGTGCGTTAGCTCATGCAGAGAGGAGAAGCAGGTCAGTTGCTAATGATATGGACTACATATCAACCAGGGGTGCAATTTGGGATAAATTCCAAGACATAGTTGCTTTAGTTTTTGATGGCCATGTAGTTTCTGCGGGTATTTAGTCATTCATCCTCTCGTATTCTTATCATGTAGCCGTTAAAAATGACTTCATCACTGTGAATGTTCTGATGGATTTGCAATATATTGTGTCCTTGATGCATCTTTTGTGCTTAAATTTGAGGTTGTTAATGTGGAATTACAAGTATACTTATGGTGATGTTCTGATCAATGTCTACGCATGGTTTGTTTGAGGTCCAAAAAACATCTATATTGAACATTTAAGAGATGCTACAAACTTAGCCACGGTACAATCAAGACTGTAAATATTATATAGATGACAACCATACATCCCCAATACCACCCAAACACCTCTCACAGACCTTGGATCTAATGCCCCCATAAATGATTGTGCCACAACATATTATTGAGGTTTGATTTAATTAGTCAGTGAACCCCGGACCAAGGGTCTAACCAGGCTTACTGCTGATAAATGACTTAGTACTTTTGTCAATCATAGGTAAAATGTGAGACAATATTAGCGGTGTACAGCTGAATTCAGATCAATAAACCGGTATGTGAAATTACACATACAGTGGGGTTGGACGGAGTGTGAAATTTTTCACAGTGCCGATGAGCGGCATGTAGGCTCTCAGAGTATAACCTTGAGTACAACATGAGGTGCCACATCCACAAAGAATGCAAGGCCATTGCCCTTGATCTCCATCAACATGTTATTCCCAACCGTCAAATATTATGTTACCTAGGGATGAGGACTGTGAGGAGGATCCAACAAACATACCAACAAACTGGAGAGCTTGAGAGAATACTGGTTTGCCCAGGAAGACCTAGGAAACTGTCTAGTCCCAATGTGATGGTGAGTTTTTTTTTACCATCTTCACAGGGTCTGAGTATTAATCTACAAGTAGTTCTTAGAGGGCTGCATAGAAAGGCAGCCTGATATGATGATAAGTGAGTTACAGGAACAGCTGCAAGAAGTGTGTGGAGTGCAAGCCTCCTTCATGACAATTCTGAGCTTTGAAAAGATGGGGTTTTACAATAAAAAAGGTAATTATTACATCTGATGTATTAATAACTTCTACTGAGAAAACATTGGTGTCAGGTGACCCATCCTGCTTGCGAGCGTGATGAAGATGATTGTGCTCTCTACAAAATGTTGGTCAGTGACCACTTTTAGGCAGACTAATTGGTGTTTGCCGACAAAACACACTTCAATTGCATAACCTTATGCCGGCCATATACATGGGCACCACATGGGGGTTATGCTCACCGAAGGGACTTTTTGGTCCGTGGAAAAAGATACTCAATATTACTGGTGATTGCCTTGGATGGTGTCATCCACCTTGAAGTCCTTGACCGTCCATTTACAGGTGATGCTTTCTTGGAATTCATTGAAGGAACACTCGGCCAAATACAAGATCCCTGGAATCTCAGAACTTGTGGAAGAGCGGTAAGCATATTTTGCTTAAATTTGTTCCTTACTGACATGTTATGTACCAGGGGAATGCATCTATTGTATCTGCTGTCCTATTCACCAGACCTCAACCCCATTGAAGAAGCATTTTTGCAGTCAAGGCCTAGCTGTGGAATAATTGTGACTACGTACTTGGGGAAACCAAAGGCCCCTTGTGCGACCCATATGCTTTAATCTAGCAGGCTATTTATTCAACAATCACACCAGAGAAGATTTATGGCTGGTTTAGACACAACGAGTACATTGCATAATTAAAGTGGGCATACTACCAGCTCTCTACTATTATAGAAGAAAAATTGGCTAGCAATATTTAAAAGGTCAGGTCTACTATAGTGTCTCACTTATCCTTTGCAGGTTGCTTGTTATCACAAGTCACTCACACCTGAAGTGCTCCCATACTCATCCTCATATTATCCCCAACCGGAAACCTCATCTTCTATCTCAATTACCTCAGCACTATCCTCATATTTGATCTCAATCTCATCTCTAACCTCACTTTCAACCTCGTCAAGATTGATTGCCATTTTATCCCCCTCACCTTTCAATCTGAAAACTGGCATTATGCATTGCGTTGCGTAGGACCTCAAAATACTGGCCTTTGCTATACCCATGTCTCCCATTGTGCTCTGAGCTTCAACCTGTAAAATAAGAAGCTGGTCAATGGTAAGGAACCCGGCGAGCAAAAGCTCATCCAGGATGCCATTGAAGCCTTGCACTGGCATCTTGTTTTCTAGAAGCCTAATCAAACTGTCTATTGGCAGATATGACAAAACCGGATAAACCCAGTCTCTGCCGAAGCAGCCATTGTTCTCCATGGAGCATAGCCACCACTCCATGGAGTCACCATTGTTCTCCTAGGAGTCATTATACTATAGCGAGTAGCACCTCCGGCTATAAGTAGTAGGGGGTTTAGTATAGGAATACCTCAGTCATTTCTATAACCTCTTGGGCAGCGGCTGAGGTATGTTACATTACATTTATTAGAGATCACCTTGAACTAACATCTATTATAGTTTCACATAGGTAAATAATACAGTCGTTTTTATAGCCTTTTGGGCAGCGGCTGAGTTTCACATAGAATTATTAGGTTATGAGCCCTGGTGCACAAAAGCTATGCAGGAAATAATTTGTATTTGACACGGCAACCTCGGAACCATGACCACAGCACACGATACATCCGCATGTCCAGTTCTCACTGGACCCAACAATTTTCAGATATGGAAACTCCGGATCATCTCAAAGCTACGTCGGGAAAATGTTCTCCAGGTTGTTACTGGAGAGGAGCTTAAGCCCTCACCAGGAAAACCTACCTCCTCGGAGGATCCTGAGATCACCTGGATACTTAAGGATGAGAAGGCACATGGAATCATCCAGGACCACATCTCTGATGCCCTCCTAATGAGGACTGGAGACCTCATCAGCTCCAAGGAGTTATTTGATAAACTTGTCTCACTCCATCAGACGTCCAACATTGCCTTGGCCTTCTATTCATTCCAGCAGCTCACCAAAATGTCCTGGGATGGGATATCACCTATCCAGGACCACATTGCGAAAGTCCGGACAATTGATTCACACCTCTCCGGAATGAAACTAGGAGTTGATACCAAACTTATGGCCTTTGCTCTTCTCCAATCTCTCCCATGCACTCCTGAATGGCAAATATTTCAGTCATCGGTAATCAACACAATTGAGGAAAATAAACTTACCTTTGATGCAGTTGAGATCCGGATCACTGCAGAAGTTGCACGACAGTCAGGGAAGACCCCTGGAGGTTCTGAATCAGCACTCAAATCCGAGGAGAAGTGGTGTGACTTCCACAAAGCCAAACCACACAACACCTCAGAGTGTCAAACACTTCAGTCAGCTGGAAAAAGTCAAAGGAAGAAGGGAAAGGAAAGACACAAGGATAAAGGAAAAGAAAAGGAAAAGGCAAATACGGCAGAGCAATCATCTGGATCTGACTCCGAGGAGGAACAGAGTCATATTGCATTGGAACATGTACATATTTTCAAGCCCCTTGCTAAACACATTCAAGCTTACCTTGTGTTGGAACCCGATAAGACCAAAACAACAATTATTATTGACTCTGGAGCAACATCCCACATGGTCCCTCACCGCTCCTGGTTTGAGCCAGGAACATACCATGTTCTGCATCCTCCGAGGACAATCAGTTTTGGGGATGAATCCTCTGTAAATGGGATTGGCATTGGAACAGTAATCCTACAAGCAACTGTTGGCAAAAAGGACTACAATATTGCACTGTCAAATGTCTTACTTGTGCCAAACTTCATTTTAGCACTCGTCTCTGTCCACAAATTGTCCAAAACGGGGTTATCAACATTTTTTCCAGCAGGGTCAAACACTTGTGAAGTTCGGAAAAAGGAGGAACTTATCCTCACTGCGTTACACAAGCGAGGACTTTATCACATCCAAGCAAAACCTGAAATCAACCCGGAGTCAGCTTTTGCAGCAGTAGATGTAAATTTATTGCACAGGAGAATGGGATACATTGGAATGGACCGCTTGCAACGAATGGTTACAAAAGGACAGCTCCAGGACATAGACACCCTTACCGGAACCCCGGAGTTTTGTGAACCTTGCGCTTTAGGAAAGATGCGCCCCATACAAATTGTGCACATGGATGTTGGAGGACCAATCAAACTAACTTCCAGGGAGGGTTTTTGGTACTGGATTATCATTGTAGATGATTTCTCCAAATTTCCATGGATATATTTCCTAAAACATAAAAGTGAAGCACTGGAACGATACAAGCAATGGAAAGAAGATGTCCAAACATTCTTCTGGACTCATTTGGGAAAAGAAAACTTCACTCCACTATACACAGAATTCCTCTGGAGCAATGGGGGAGGAGAATATACTGGCAATGCATTCAAAAATCAACTCCAAGAAGATGGTGTCGTCCAAGAAACTACAGCTGCAGATACTCCGGAACAAAATGGCATTGCAGAACACATGAATCAGACATTGGCTACATTAGCAACCACTATGCTCCATGATTCCAAGCTCCCAAAGTCATTTTGGGTAGATGCCATGCAAACAGCTGCATATATTACAGCATGCAGCCCAGCATCAGGACTCCATGGAAAGACCCCATATGAAATACTGTTTAAAAGGAGAGTTGATCCAACTTTATTTTGCTTTTTCAGATGCCAAGCATATGCCTTGATTCCAAAAGACAAAAGGCAAGGGAAGTTTTACTCCAAAGGGCACATAATGATTGGCTACACACATGGAAAGCAAGCCTACAAACTCCTAGACACTGAAAAACGGACTGTGTTTTCCAGTTGGCATGTCATATTCAATGAATTTGGAAAGGTACAAAAGGACGACACTGCTCTCTGGAACACAGACACTAGCACAGATCAGTGGGAGGGACTCATTCCAGAGAATGCTCACTATCCAGACCAAAATACATTGGAGGAGGATGATCCTGACCCTTGGATCCGAGATCCAAATGAATTGCAAATGGAACCACATCTCCAAGGAGATGTTCCACAAGCAATGGAACCATATCAGCATGAAGATGTTCGGAGAGCAGTGGGGCAATACCTCCGTGGAGACGTTCCGAGAGCAGTGGGAGCACCTGTCTCTACAACCAAGACCTGAACACTGGCCATCTTCAGAATGGAAAGCCAAAGTAGAGTCACAGTCAGTGGGAGGACAGCCCCTCAACATACAGCCAGCTGATGTGGAAAAAGTCCAAATACAGCTAGACAGCCTGTCTATTGGATCAGCTTCTGGAAGGCATACAACACCTCCAAGGAGTCACCCAATGCCTCTGAGGAGTGATTCAACTCCTTCAGGAGTGAGTGGGGCAATACACACACAAATGCGTCTACTCCCTGGAGTACCTGCACAAGTTCCTAAAAGAGCAGCCATGCCTGCTGAAGTCCTAGGAGTACACAGAAGCAGTCACCAGACCCGTCCTGCAGACAAAAACCGAGATTATCAAAGGACTCTAAGTGAGGAACAGTCTCAAAAAGAGCAGCATAACAACTCCATGGAGAAACCTAACACTCCTGAGGTTCATGAAAAAACATCTGATACAGAGGAGACATTCTTTGCTAGAATAGCAAGTACCGGTCCATCTAACACAGACCTTCCAAGGACACTAAAGGAAACCTTATCACGTCCGGATGGAGAATTATAGAAGTCTGCCTTGGAGGAGGAGCTCCTAAGTCTCAATATTAATGCAGTATATGACACTAACCCACTTCCAAAGGGAGTAAAACCCATCACATCAAAACCTGTGTTCCAGATCAAGTTTGATCAAAACAGAAACATTGAGAGATATAAACTCCAGATTGCTGCACGTGGTTGTACTCAAAGGGAGGGAATTGATTACCAGGAGGTTTTTGCTCCGGTTGTAAACTTAGAGTTGATCCAAATTATTCTAGCCCTGGTAGCAAAGTACAACCTAGAACTTGATCAAATGGACATATCCATAGCTTATCTCAATGGAGAACTTGAAGAAGAACTGTACATGCTTCCTCCAGGGGGTGTTTCTATGCAACCTAGATACTGCTGGAGGTTGAAGAAATCCATCTACGGATTAAAACAAGCTGGTCATACATGGAACAAAACCTTTGATTGCAAGCTCCAGGAGCTCGGTTTCACAAGACTAAATGCAGAAACATGTATCTATGTATTCCAGGACAACAAACAAATATGCTTTGTTGTTGTCTATGTAGAAAACCTCCTCTTAGGAGCTTCATCCCAAAAATTCATGGATATCACAAAAGCCAAACTCGAATCCATATTCAATATGCGGGACCTTGGAGAAGCAAAATACATCCTCGGAATAGAAATCCAACGTGATCGTTCAAACAAAACAATATCCCTATTACAACGCCAATACATTGACACAGTCCTGGAGCGTACTGGAGTGAAGGACTGCAAACCAGTATGGACACCAATGGCCCATGGATCAAAACTCCTCGCAAATGCTCCAGGGGAAGATATTGTGCAACACAAGATGCATATTGAAGGGTGTCAAGTGTCATACCTCTCTCAATTGTAGGCTCCCTCATGTATGCCATGCTCGGAACCTGCCCAGACATTGCCTATGTTGTTGGAATACTAAGCAGACATAGCTCAGCTCCAAGGAGCCATCACTGGGAAGCTGCAAAATGTGTCCTCCGATATCTGAAAGC